CATACTTTATTCAATACAAAATTTGACAGTTGGCTGTAGACTGGCAAACATATTAAGAACATATTACACCAATACTGAAAGATCTGTTCTGAGATGCAAGTTTCCCAGGCTTAGTTAAAACCACTTTAAAGTCTGTTTAACAAATCATCTATCTTATCATGAATCTAATTGTAAAAATCTGCAGGAAGAGATTTTCTTATTATTTCCAAACTTTGAAATGTGCTCCTTCCAAATATGACTTTTATTTATTTTATTTTTTTAAAAAAAATCTAACTGTATTTTTTTAAGGTGGCCTCTTAAATTGCTTGCAGCTGCTTTTAATGTTTTAGGATAACTGTCCTTGTTTCAACATATTCATTATTATCTTAATTTTAGTTTTATTTATTTATCAGAGATCATATTGTACTTTTTTGCAATATAAATATTGATACATAGCATCCCCTCCTAAATAGATAGTAAATACATAGTTTAGATAGTTTGCATTTATCTTTCATCCAGAAAACTCAAGTTTGCTTATGCCTTCGTAACTTTGCCTTTTATTCTTAGACTAAGTTATAAAGTAAGATTAAGCTGCAAAATATATCAGAACTACTCTATAAATGTTGTTGACAACTGGCAATAGAAATCTGGCTCTCCTTAGTTCATGGATATAACGCATTCGTAATTTGATGTAGAAAGTGCAGCCACATTAATTCTGTCCACTGGCTTTCAATATCTTCAGTCTTGATACCCTTCAAATTACTCATGGCTTTAGTGCTAGTCCAATATTTTAATTATTAAGGGCACTGATTGTTAGATGAGCAAACTAATAGCAGACAATCTGCAATTGTTCCCAAAGTGGCCTCCCAATTGTATTCCTCCTCAGTATTGCTGTATTACAATATTGTATTGCCATACTGAGAAATGTCCCTTCTTACTTTAGCAAATGCTAATTTTCTCTGTTGTTTTGGTTTTTCTTCCTTGGATTTAATTTCTATCTTCTATTTGTCTTTTTTTTCTTCTCTGATCGTGTTCTAATTTCTGTCATATGAAGTCCAATGTTCAAAATCTCACTAGATGTGTTTAATTCTGTGTTTCTCAATCTTGGCAACTTTAAGATGTGCAGACTTCCAATTTCCAAAATTCCCAGCCAGCATGTTGGGAGTTGAAATCCACACATCTTAAAGTAGCCAAGTTTGAGAAACTGTGTCTTAAGTACAATTAAGTACACTTACTTCAAGAAAAAAAATATATGAACCTTGGACTATCTGTGTTCTGAATTTAGTCACAGATGCACTGGCTGGGGAATTCTGGGCGTTGAAACCTATATATTTTGAAGTTGCCAAAGTTGAGAAACACTGAGCATCAGACTTGATCTGAGGGAAATTAAAATATCAGAGAAGAGGTAATATTTGTCTTTTTCTGCAGCCACATCATATTGGTGGCTCAAATTGGGTTAAAATCAACCATTGTTCCAAGTTTCATAGATATTCTTACGAAGTCACATATATTCCACACATAACTTCTATATTAGATTTTGTTTCCTCTTTAACGAATTTTATCTTTCTCTTCTTTTATTTTCAGTTTTTTGTTCCAACCAATCAGGACATTTAATACTTTATTTCTGTCTTTTAGTATTCCTGCCATTTAGTATTTTATTTCTATAATTGAGGAATATATATTCCACCCAATTTTGTATTACCTGCAAATATGATTAGCATACCCTCCACCTCTTCAACCAAGTCATTAAAAATATTGAAGAACAAAGGACTGATTACTGAATCTTGTGTCACTTAATTTGATATCTCTCTCCGATTTGATGAGGAACCATTAATGAACCATTTTAAATACGATCTTTGAGCTAGCCATACATCTACTTAATTGTCATGTCATCCAGCACACACTTAATTAGCTTGCTAAGCAGCACCATGTCTTGGGTATTTGTTTACTGTTACTTGTTTATTGAAGTCAAGGTATTTTATGTCATCAGTATTCCCACAATCTACTAACGAAATTATCCAATCAAAAAATGAATTAACTGCCTGGCAAGATTTGTTCTTGACAATTCCATGCTGATCTAATTACAACATTGTTTTCAAGGAGCTTAAAGAATAAATCTTTAATTATCTGCTCTAGAATCTTCCAGGATATCAATTCTGACTAATTTATCTATAGGTTATTAAAGTTTTCTTTCTCTGATACTTGAAAATAGAGATAATTCCTACAGTCATTTGGCACTTGTGAGTGGTCATAGGTCCTCTAGGATTTTCAAAAATATGCCTAATGATCTACCAGATCATCAGCTAATCTGTGTAGTATGCTAGGGTGCAATTTTTACAACACTATAATTTACATACATTTAAAATAATTTTTAAAAAATCCCTGATTATGTTTTTATCAGTCGCAAAATTCAATCTTTCCCCAACATCCTTATTTTTGCAATTTCTTGGTGGAAGATATACTTTTTGTTGGAGAAGACCAACAAAATAGCAGTAGAATATCTATGGCTTTTCTTTATTAACACTACTAGCATTTTTCTCTTTTTGCTCAGTATCTCTCTATTGATTTATTTTGCTTTTCTTTTGAACAAACCTAACCCCATTTTATTATTATTAATATTTTTTCATTCAGTTAATTTAAAATAACTTTCCTGATAACAGCAGGACTATAGTTTCTTAGTGAACTACCTCTCTTTTCATTTTCTATAAACTGATTTCCCTTCTTTTATATGAATTTGTCTTGTGGAAGTTTGCCATTATGCAACTACAGTAATCACTTTTTGTCCAAAAATTTACTTAACATGAAAAAAAAACCATTTCTATTGTGTGATTTGCACCAGCAGGGTCAATTTGCACCAAAGATCTAAAAGTATGCCAAGACTTTTTTCTGCCAAAATTACTTGAATATTTTCCTGCCAAACCCCTTTCCTGTCCTCACTCACACATTTCAGATGTATTATAAAGTTGTTCTAATTTTTTCTCATATCTTTCATTTAGTTCTTCATCTGCAATAGCTGCTACTCTTACAATGGGACTTTATCATCAAAAGTTGTATCTAATCCTTTTACTCAAAATGAAAAGGAAAAGGACTTATGTAACACTAGAAACCCAGTTGGACACAGCACTAAAGCTACTGAAGGATCCTGAGCTTTAGGACAAGCTTTTAACCTCAGCTAGAATGCTGCATTATGTGGACAACAATAACAATAAAGAATTCAGATATAATTCATGATGCATTCTATTTCTTTGTCATAATAATCATGCACATTTGAAGTACAGCTGCAGAAAAGATGACAAAAATGCTTTCACTGTATAGAACATGCAACAACGAACAAAACATGTTTGAAAAATTTAGTGCTTAAAGGGCTTTAAAATTTAGAACCATACAGTATCAGTTAGTGCACATAGATTACAACATTCAAATCCATGACCCATTAGCCTTCTTTTTCTATTAAGCATAAAATAAGAGAAGACTGTATGCTCTCTTTTTGGTAAGAATTTAAGCAAATTCACATTTAGATTCTTAACTCTTAATGGATAGCATCTGAGCTAAAGTGTGACTTGTTTGTTTCTGACACAGTACATTATCTCAACTCACCCACTGCAATATATGACTTGATGTTCTCTGCAAATACAGATATGGCAATTTATTAAATAATCTCTGATTTAATATGATTTTCAAGCTAGCCAATTCTTCAGTCATGTTTATAAGCTCATCTAATTAGGATGGTTTGTTTCAGTTCTTTAGTTTTATTTTCTGGAAAACTCTGCTCAAGCACTACTTTCTATTCTTTCTATCCTAGATTTTCTGCAGTGAAGAGAAATATCAAAAATTCATCTAGGCATTTGTAATCTACAAGTTAACAAGAGTTTCATTTTCCAGTTTTCAGTCAATCTAGAATAAGATCTTATAAGGGGAAAGATTATTTAATTTATAATGAGGCTGTAGTCTCTGAGAGTACCTTATCTTAAATCTACTCAATAAAATTATTCAGTGTGCTTTATCTTGACTTTTCTTTAATAGAACATCTAAGATTATCTCCAGCTTTTGGTAACATAAAACTTTATTTAAATCTGAAGAAGTTCAAAGGGTAACAATTTGAGTTTATGTTTCCAGACACAGAAAGTCAATTATTATTCATTCATTGATTTTATGTTCTCAGAAATGGAAGGTCAATTATTATTCATTCATTTTCATCCCACCACCCTGATAACGTCATTATATAACCCAAAGCCTACTTACTATATGAACAAACTTATTCTAACTCTTTGCATTCAATTCTCACTGCTGAGAATTCTGGGAATTAAAGTCCACACTGCCCGTCCAGAAAGCACACAGATTGGGAAAGATAGTTTTACTTTAATAGTGCATGTACTTCCCAAAATAAATTAGCAATATCAAGTTTAATAGTGATAGTACTTGCTTTCAAACTACTCTGGTTCACAAGATTTGCACTATGAAAAAAGTTAATTGTACCTCTCTCCTAAATTCATATAAAAGTTCTTCCATGATAATTCTTTTACTGCAAGCACTGAAAGAATGATTTAAATCATGCCTACTATGAATTTAATCTCATTCTAAATTAGACTTTTATGTTTAAATATGAAATATTTCAATTTGTAATGCTTCATTATTGATATTTGAGAGTGCTTAAGAGTTTCCTCGCAAACATATTTGCATACAATTAACTATTTTTCACACAAAGCAGGTTGTGCAAGCCTTTGAGACTTGAACTTGTTTTAGATGTTTAGATGTCAGCAATGACCTAAAATTTTTTAGCCTATCTTTGGTTGGTTTGCCTATTGTTCCGGGTTCAATTGAATCAGACCTAAGTATGATCTTACATGTGTACATATTTTACAGACTATTAGACTTTGTTCCACTTTCAGCAGACTTCGAAAACTATTCAGAAATCTGAACTAGTATAGAATACTGATGCTAAAATGTTTAGTCTAGAACAGGGGTAGGCAACCTTGGCACTTTTATGACTGGTGTAGAAGATACATGAAAATAATGTTCACCTTGAGTTTGTCTTCTGGTGGTTCATATAGTCACATCCAAGTCATTTTCTTGGTATGGTTCCTGATCTTCACCAATGGTTCTCCCCATCAAAGTAATAATCAGAGCAAACAGTGAGAAGTATTACTGTTACTTTTGGAGTTTTAAGTAATGTAGCTTAAGTATCTGAAATATTCTGATTATAACATATTTTCTGTGAAAAGCTACCTAAGCTTTAAGATTATCTATGTCTCCTTTTCTTTAATGGGTTGCATCTGAGAAATACTTAATGGCAACATAAAAAAAGTGGCTAAAAGAAAAATTACCTATTTTATTTGAAACTCACTGCTCCTAAAATATCTCATCCTTTCTAACTGCAAATATTTATTTTTCAAACAGATACTGCTGCCATTGCTGGATTCTTGGTTTTGGGTCTCTAGGTTTTTTTTCCTATTGTAATTTTGGTTTGGTTTCTTCAATAAATTATTCATTTTTTATATTTGCTCCTATATTTTGCAATCTATTTTAATTGATTCCATTTGGGAAGAAAAAAAAATAGTCTACACATTATTATATAAACAAAACACCACAACTATAAACATCAAAACAATGTTGGCATCCATATAATAAAAAGAATCACATTTTCATGAATACTGACAATATATTTTATTGGATGGATGAGGACTTCCTTGTAACTTATTTCTAATATTTTACATCAGACACACAGGTTAGGTTTATACAACCAGACTAAAATAAGTTTGTGATGATAGCACATTCCAATCTTAGCAATTTCCAGATGCATGAATTTAAACTCTTCTAATTCTCCTGGCAGCGTGGCCAATGCTGAGAACACTCTTGAGTTGAAGTCCACACATTTGGACTTTGAATAGAGCCTTCAGCGGCTATTAGGCTAGTAGTGGCAACAGTTCAGCAAGAGCTAGATGGAAGGTTACATATTCCTTATGTTTTAATCTGAATGAAAACTGTTTAAAATTTCATTCTGGGTCATTCACATAGCCAAAGAAAGCAAAGAATTCTCTATTTGAGATTATTCTGCTAAGCAATAAATACAATTCAACAAATATGGCATAAAACAAAATTAGCTATAAACACATACTTTTTGTTCAATAGATGTGATTTGACTAGGTTTCAAAGATATTGAATCCTTCCTGGTCCTCTTAAATATCAGCACTGCTTTTAAATAAATATGAATAATACCATGACACATGTAAAGATTATTTAATAAAGTATTAAATAAAAATTTAGATGCATAAAACAGTATTAAAATTTCTATAAGTCCAAGCAAATTATTGTTTTAGGAACTCACATACAAAATGTGTAGAAATTTACAGAATTGAAAAGAACTTTATGTTTTTAAAGACAAAGTCTTTCCTATAACTTGAAAATATTTTGTTGTTTATTTAGGAAGTAAAATGTGTTCCAATAGTCATTCCCAGATTTTAGCCATGGGAGAGAAGTTACAAGATTTGTAATCCAAGTGGATATGGCAGTGGGGAAAACTGTTTTAGATTTTGGTTTGCTCCCTGTTAAAAAAGTACATGGTTTGAAGTAAGCATCATGTATCAGAGAAACACCACTGTATACTTTTAATGTGATTTTTGTTTTAAAAATTCAACTTTAGCGGCAAAAAATGAGCAACAAATAAGTTCCATTCATGGTTTTAAGAGTGAAGTGGCTGCAAATTTGGTTTGGCAAAAAAATTTAAGAGGGCAGTGCAAAAGAACTGATTTAAACATCTCTCTTTAAAAAATGTGGATGTATTGCCTCCCTTAAGAGGAAAATAAAGTCAATACTTGGGGGGAAAAGGAAAATTAATATTGTAACATTCAAGGCGACTATATTCATAGAAATGAAATGTTTGTTTACTAATATCACCACCTCCTGTTCAAATTATAGATCTGGAAATTGAAAACAATTTGCAAACCAATGAGGTCCTGAGGGTTGGCTACATATTTCTTATTAGAACTCATTCTAATGTCATCATACTTGAGATGTTAATTCCAAAGGGGCAACTTCAAATTCTTAGGCAATTGTTTTATCTATTGATTGCAAAACTTCTGTCCTAGTTAATACTTAAAATGACCTCTAGGTGGCACTCTCTCAAAATAAATTAATGATTTTTTTAACGAATATGTTAAAACATTTAATATTTAAGATTAAGTATTTTAAACAAAACATTTTAGGATTTAATATTTTGTTTTTCATTTCTGATTATTTTCATGAATTAAGCTTTTCTTTAAAAAAAAGTTAAAAGTACAACTCTAAATCTGTTGACAAGTAAGTATAATCAAGTAAGTATAATTAAGTGTAACAGGACTATTTTCTAAATAAATCCTGTGTCTATTACAGTTTAAAATAATAAACCTGTACTTGATTTTAGAAATAATCTCTTAACTCAGTACAGGATCTCTGGCTACAGATGCAACCTCAAGGGAGAGAATGTTTTCAGTGAAAAAAAAAAGTGCTGATTTTAAAAGAGCCACTTCTGACTATGTATATGTATTCATGTGTGCATTCAGGCTTAGGAGAATGGAGGGACTCATAAATTTACATGGCTAAGACTTTTTCTTTTTAGTTTTATTTTTTTCTTGTGATTCCTTGGAGCCTTTTTATGAAGAGCCATAACAGGACATGGGTCTGCCCTTTAATACAAATAATTACAGTTAAAAACTGTTACAAGAGAAGAACACAGTTACAATTAAGTATGATAGAGAAAGGGATAGATTCAACTTCAAGGGAAATTTAGAATGTCAATAACTGTTTGATCTTTTTCCAGTCCTAGATAAATAAAAGGAAGAATGCTGAATGGTTATTTTCAAAAATAGTAGCTGCCTAGAGTGGGATCTATTCACAGGACAAGAACTCTTTTCTGATTGAGATCAAAGCTCTATGTATTTAATAGTAGCAAGTAAAAAACTTTATAAGACAGCTATTAAACTAAGTTTAAGAGTATTTATTATTTTTTAAATTTCTTTATGTTTATGACCCCCTTTGAAGCTATATCCCCAAAACTAAAAATCTATGCAGTATTACTCAGAAATAAAGTCAGCTAGATAGCAAACAGGAAACTTGCTTCTAAATGAAGAGAAACAGGATGGGATTCTGTAAGAATTCACTCTTCTGTGCAAAAGGAAACTCTATTTAACTCACTAGGATTTATATTTAAAGATCATGCACAGGTGAAGCTGTTAGTATACCAATCCTAAATGGGCATAACTTTAAAGGAAGGATGAGCACCAAAACATATTCAAATTAAATTTCAATTAACAAAGGGAAATGATATATTTATCTAAAATTAAGAAGTTGGAGAAGTGCAAAACAAAAAAGTCTATAAAGATCAGGATAATCAAATGCCCAGCACTGCTTTTAGCAAAAAGGCCATACATTAACCAAAGATATTTTTTTAAAGATGTTATGATGTTCAAATGATGCTTAATGTTTCCTTTCAGTTCTGTGACTATTAAATATGCTTCTTTTTGGCACCACTCTATCTTATATTTGCATTCCTATATTATAGCCAATCTTGATTAAGCAGGTGAGCAGGATCAGATCTGATTAATATTTGGATGGGAGACCATCAGAAAATACTGGGAATGAAGATTTGGAAAGGGGGAAAATCCCGAAAAGCAGCAATGGCAACTTGGTATTGCTAGTATTGTTGTGGAAAACAATACACTAATGTGTCCATGAAGTTACCAGGAAACTTTAATAGTGAGAAGATTAATTTGTATGGTATGAATTACAATGTGAGCTGGTATGAATTACAATAAGGAAGTCTTGTTTCCAAATAAATATGCATACCAAGTCTCAATCTTCCTTTGCAGGACCAGAATCTAGTTACTAAAATGTTTTCTGACCTAAAGACAGTAACTATAATGCTACTGTGCATCTAGATGTATGGTGAGGAATTAAGAGATGGTTAGACAAACTAGCTCTGCATTTCTGAAAACTATGAAGATAACTCAAGAAAGCATTTAAAATTCATGCATATTTATTTTTAAAACAAATAGAAACAGTTTATATATACCTATCAAAAGCATCTCTTCATTACCAGGAGTCTAACACTTTTCTGCCAGCTGCTAAAACTGTTTAAACAGCACTTTATTGATTCATTCAATAGCATTGCATTCAACAGGTGTTAAGGTTTTGAAAAGATGTACATTTTAAAGTGAAAGAAATTATGCTCCAACTAAAGTTCATGGTAGTCTGTTTTTTTAAAAAAAAATCTATCCTGTTAAACTGCTTTCTGCATATGCTTTTGAAGCTACTGATTCAAGCAATTAAGTCTTTCTTTAATTAGCAACCGCAAGGCTGTTGGTAATTCTTCAGCAAAATGGTTAAGGGCAAAACCTCTTTTTTTAAAAAAAACAACAACATTATTTAACAGCAGGTAGAAAATAAGCAAGATTGTTTCTTTGAATGGTTCTTCCATGGCTATAAACTGCTAGAATGTTTTTGAACAACTCATTCAAAGAAACCAATGCGGTCTCCATCTGTACAGCATTTTAAACTTCCTTAAATTGGATTTCTTCTCTTCTCTGTTAAAGGATGGCTGAGTCATACATCGCTTGGAGGAGCCATAATGGAGAAACCTATTTCCAGTCTGTTTGGATTGAGAGAGGCTGGTTTTGGAGAGGACTAGTTTTTAGCTAACCGAGTGTAACCATATTTCACTCCAAGGTTATTTCAGGTTTGTTAATATTTGAAGAAGAATCAGCAAGTGGAGAATTTTTTTTAGCCAAAGGTATAAATTATGTCCACTAGGAAGGGTACTTATAGGACAAGCTACATTCCTTTAGCCCCAAGGTTTCTATGCATATTCTGAATATTCAGAGCTAATATAACATCAGTGAGAAAAGTAACAAAAAAACTAACTTGCAGTTTTTATTTTGCCAGCAATTCCAGAATTTTTGGACATTCAATCAAGAGCACAGACCAGGATAATTAAAAACATTCTCTCAACCTTGAGAGTGATGGAGGATTTCTAAGAAAACATTTCATTGATTTCATCTCTAAATAACTAAGGAATGATATATTAAACTTAAAGCATGTTTTCTATTGTAACCTACACCTGAGCATGATGTCACTCAAACTTTTTCTTTAAATCCAACTCAGCTCTAGAACAGCCTGAAGTTCAGGGTGAAATCCAACTGGATGTAATCAGTCCAACTGAAGTACTTGTGTTTGTTTTATATTTCCATATTAAGTATCTTTTTATCAATGGAAGGATCAGTCTTAACACGTTCATAATATGCTCATTCCATAATTCTCTCTTTTTTTTTCCTCTTAGGATTTTTTAGGAGAGAGATTTTGGAGACCAAAGGCCAAGAACTAAAATCCAAAGTAAAACGAACAGATCACAGATGTGAACATACAAGAAAGTCCCTCCATTCACAGGTATCTTATACTTTACTTCCAGTTTCTCATTTTGGGAAGGTGATAGGAGAAAATTCACCTTACAGTCCCAATGTTTATCTGGAAGTGAATACTATTTCATTTGCAGGATTTACTTCTTAAGTAAATGGGATTAGAGTTAGACCATCTCCTCTATTATTCAAATCCAAACTATAATTCAAATGCAAACTATGCAAAAGCCAGCAACTCCTTTTAGCTTGAACTGGCCTACTACAAGAGATGTATCTTAGAAATCAATCCATCACAATGGCCAGGCAAGATATTATGTTTTTTTCTATTCATATTTTCCTTCACAGGACAATTAATTTCTGGATTCCAGAAATCAAAAACTCTTAGCAATAATTGGGAAAGCAATTATTCCCAATTAGTCAAAATTCCAATTATAGTTAGAATCCAGAGAGCCACACAATCAAGTAGCTATACCAAAATCTAAAGTGAGCGCAGCCTGAATTGACCCAAATTTCCTTAGAAAGGGAAATTAAAAATTAGTTATTCTGTACATATATCTGGATAATATCCTATTGATATTTTGAAGGACCTTAAAGGTCTGCTTCTTCACCCAGTTCTTTGGAGAAGATGACTGGTGCCCCTTTCTTTTTCTCTCTGAGTTTATATTCCTTCTCATTGTTGTTCTTTTGTCTTGTGTCAATTTTGTCAATTTTGATTTGTTCTTTGTTTTTAAATATTTTTTAAAATTGTCAATTATCCAGAATTAATGGGAGTCAGGCAGCATAAAAATAATTATTATAGTTGTATTGTCCATCGCATAGTCAGCCTGGATGTTCAGGCTGAATTTTGCATTTTGTCTGCCTAATGAGTCCTTCCCAAGGACCTAGAATAGGGAGAGTTTGTTGTTTGATTGTGTTAAAGGTATTTGTCACAGGATGTAAGCTATTCAAAACAAAGCTACCTTTGCTAATTAATATTATTGTTAATTTGAATGGAGCGTACTTACTGCTTTTATGTACACAGTCTCTATCTGTATGCATATGTGTGTGTTTGTATTTTAAAAAATACTATCACAATTACTAGTAAAATTTCTAAACATATTGTACCCCCTTTTTGTACAAAAAAGTAAATTCTGAATGCCCTTCAAAATTTCCAGCTCTGGATTCTAGTTTTATAAGAAACATAAATGCTGCTCAGGGAGCGGGACAAATGGATCCTTCTCAAGTCAACAGCAATTAGGAATTTTCTTTGATTTTGAACCGCACCATTGCAACCTGCCTCCTACTCTTGGGCCTTGGGCGATGGTAGTTGTTCACCTCCACTGCCTGAAGATCTGATTGGGGCTTGGGTAAGGAAGAATGATTTTCTTGGGATTGCTCAGCTGTCCATTTGATCTCATTTCAAGTCACCACAGGGATGAAAGAGTCCTGCTTATATAAACTACTGTTAGGATATGATTTGTAAAAGTTGGCATTAACATTTCAGTTAAAAAGTTCTTTGCAATTATTTGTAATATCCAATTTTTTTCTTTCTTCAGTTGACTATATAACATAGAAAGGTGGCAGTAAATATGCACATATTATTAGGAAATTTAAAGATACTTGAGTTGCTTCTTCCAGGTGGATGTTATTCACACAATAACTAAACCAGGTCAGATACTCAGCAAGTTCATTGGCCCAACTGGCTAATGTCGTAAGGGTAGATTGGGTGTTTTGTCTTGGCATGTTCTGCAAACTAGTTTATGGCTCAATGTATCATGAAAAGCCAGAAAATGAGTTAATTCAATTACCTGCATATTGCTTGAATGCAACCATAGCGAATGGCAAGGAAAATATATTTAGGAATAGCATACCAGATTTTTTTTTTTTAAACAGAATCTGGACTAAAAGAGGATGGGCATCAAAGGATTTTTTTGGGAGGGCACAGATTTTCAGGGCAACAGATATTTTGCTCTTCTGCATTTTTATCAAGTTCTACACAGGAAAGCTTCTCTTTAGATAGATGCTCTTTATAATTTTCTTTGTACCCAATGCAGGTCTAATTTTTGCCTCATATTCTGAAGTGCAGAGAGATGGTTTAGGCCTTGAAATCAAATACTGGGAATTATTATCATCATCATCATGGGTTTCTTCTATTCTGCATGTGTAACTGACATTTTCCCTTCTCCCAGCATTTTCTACTTTCCACATCTCATTTTTATTGCATGCTTTTTTTAAAATAGTATTTTTATGAGTATGGTCCTCAACTGCCTTACAAGTGACTTTTTCCCCAACTGTCTGTCTGTCTGTCTGTCTGTCTCTCTCTCTCTGTGTGTGTGTGTGTGTGTGTGTGTGTGTGTGTTAGCAGTTGACCAGCCACCTTCCTCTCACTCCACTTGTCAAAATCAAAAAGCCAATCTCCCCTTTAATTTTCTAAGAGGAAAATTGTTTCTAACCACTTTCTTTTACAATTTTAGCCTCATAGCTCCAGTTTTGGGGATTATATGTATAAATCTGTAGTTAAATTCTGCACCAAGAGAATCAAGGCATACAAACACTTAAAAAAAAAACCTCTGAAAAAAATTATTTTGAAGGTTATCTTTTCCCTCCCCTCCCTTGTTGCTTTTACAGAATGCCACCTCCTCTTCCCCTTCCTATCCCCGCTGTAAACTGACCCACCTGGTGAAGCTTCATCAAGTGCAGGGAATTCTAAGGATGAGGATTTTTGCAAGCCATTTTTCTTTGCTGCTTCTTCTTCCTTATCCCTGTCTTCTTCTTCTTTGCTTCTCGCAGGCTTAGGTCGATAACCAGGTTCCAGCCGGACAGACACCTCGCAATTTCTTCCATCTGCAAAGTATGAAGGAGAGGATGGGAGGCTACCTCGGGAGGATAGGTTTCCGTCGGCAGCAGAGGATGGTTGGTCAGAAACCTGTTTCGGAAAGGTAGCTAAAAAGAGTTCCGGAAGGGAACTGGGACGGAAGGGTGACTTCTGAGTTCGACTTTGGCGGATAAAGAGAACCGGCTCTTTCCTCTCCAGCTCCAGGAGAGGACCTTCTCCCCGGCAACCTGGAGAAAATTTCCTCGCCTCTGGTTCCAAACAGAAGGAATCTTGGCCTTTGCGTCCGGGATAGTACAGACAAGAAGAGCTGCTTTTATGTGAGAAAAAGTCATGATGAGGAGAACTTCGCCAACCCGAGTGATGGAAAGGGAGAGGAAAGTACCCAAGGCCGGACGAGGGGTGACTCATGCCTCTTTGCCCATTGAACCTCCGCCTCGCCCGCTTAGCCCTCGGCCCGGCGAATCCTCCCCAAGGAGAGGTTGGCGTGGGTGCGTAGTTCTAAAGCTCAGCTATTGGCTTCGACAGGCCTCACAAGGCTAAATCCTCTGGAGAGCAGTGGGGTTGCACTCACCAAGATAGGTACCCACGTGTGCGTGACTACGAGAGGAAGAACCTCTTTTCAGGCGAAAGGCCTCCAGCAGGACACTTATCTATTGGAAAATGCACCGGGCTCCCAGCCACTTCCGGCGGGCTAACCAATCCTAGATGGACTTGGCTTTTACGGACATCCCCCGGTGTCAATTTTAATGGCAAACTTTACTGCTTTGCGAAAGGATTCATCTTTTATTTCAAAAGAAAGGAAGAAAGCGGAGGGGGGGGGATATTCGCGGCAGACGTCTGCTGCAATTCATCCCCGTCGCGCCACTCCTCCCTCCGCTCATCCACTTACCCGACATGTAATCTAAAGGAGGTGCCAATTGCGCAGTCTTGTCTGAGCCCCAAACATTTTGATAGGCACTTGACCCGGCCTTATCTACTGTGCTGCATTCCTGTTCTGCGTATCTGCGCTTTGTGAACCTCACTTCTGCCTGTCGCTGCTCTTAGAAGGCCGGCGACACGTAGAGCTGGAGACAGGACAAACGCGAGGCCTAGAATGGAGACAAGGCTGCATAACAATGGTTGTAAACATCGCCGAATGCGTGTATTCTACCAGTGGTAACAAGCATGTAGTCGGTTTCTCTCATGACCACCACCATCAAGTTTAAGTTTAGCTGCTTTAAAAAAACATGCATGTTGCTTTTGGTGGTTATGCTCTGAGAAGTCATATCCTGGGATGGAATATTTTAAAGGGGGAAGCAAGCCAATTTCTTCCATTCCTCCTTTGTCCAGATTATCCATCCCTCCTCAGCAACTGAAAGCAGGATGTGCAATGGTTAAATGTAAATAATTGCATTTAACAAAATGTGCAAATATGCACATCTATAATTGCATGTGCTCTTGTATTTAAAAAAGGTCACTCATCTTTGTCCAAACACCAACAATCTTTGGAGATCAGTTTGTGCTTTAAGAGATGCCAAGAAGATCATTTCTCAACTGGAGGGTACAGCTTCCACTGATTTCTGCCCAATAGGCTTCTTATACCAAATCACATATTGCTACATATTGCACTTGCTATGTAGAAATAAGTCAGTTGATTCACAGGTATGGGTCTTCAGAGTTATACAATTGACATTAGCCTGAGAAGGGTCACATTTGTGCAGTTTAATTCAGGCTGTACTCAGGTCTGTGGTCTGTCTTAAAGGCTCCAGTTGGATCACCATCACTGCCTTCTCTCTTTTATTTGCTCTCCAAAGAGGTCTCTGTAATCTGAATGTGATGTAGACAAAAAAGAATAGAAGTAAAGGTAGGTGGATCAATCTGAAATGTCTGAAGCATGTGTTAAACAACTTTATAAACATAAGCACAGGCAAGTCTGATAGATATCTACTTACTTATTCATTGCTTTCAACAATTTACAAGCCTATAAACTAATCCATCAATTAAATATAAGTGTGCAACTTCCAAAAACTACATGAAGAACATGGTTCTATGGAGAATAATTTCCCATTAAAATAATTGGAACCAGATGAAAAGGGAGGGTCATTTTCTCCTTATCTTTTTCTCCATTTAATATTAACCTTCTTCCTACACTTAGCAGGAAAATAAACCCAACTGAGCAAAGTAGGAGTTATTTCCAAGAAAAATGAGATGTGGTCTTGTTGTGTGCTTAGAAATATTCTCATTCCTAACAGTATAGTTTATTTTGATCATTTGGAATAACACCCCATGTACATTTATAGGAAATTTGGGCTGTCTTTTTTAAGGGTTTGTTTAATTGAACATTGCCAAACATGTGCAATCTAATCCAATTCTAGGAATAATTAAACCTTTTGGAACATCAGTTTGACAACAATGAAGGAATTGAGGCTGTTTTTCCTTCCATTGTCTTGGGCATGGGAAAACAACTCCATCAGCTTGAAACTGTTACTGATTCTTTAGGGGAGGTGCCTGAACTTTCCTGCAGAACTTTCCAACTGTTCCAGGAAGAAACAGTCTTGGATCATAAACAAACTTTCTCTGAAAGGAAGTTCTACTTATATAAAAGTGCTTTTACATAAACAAGGCACAATCTCATGGGAAAATAGTCCCTGCTAAGTACAGTTCAGTGAATTCATTTAATGAGTAATAGTGAATTGCACCCCAAAGTGCCTAGAAACTGTGAATATTGCTACACCAAGCAACGATAGAATCTGTGAAGTAAAACCAGCCAATCAATTAATTCACTATATCAATCCAGATTAATAATAGTGAAATGTGCTACATAGGAGGCAGAGGAAAGGCACACATTTAAGGACACACATTCACAGTAGGCAAATGGTAAATTTCAGACAGCAAGTTTTCTGTCATGCAAACAATTAAAATTTTATGGTTGGGGAGAGACCTTTTTTCATTTCAGAAAACCAACAGTAACTGTCCCTTTCTCACAATTTTTAAATGATTCTTCTCTGCATTTGATTTTTTTTTTCTTTGAATTCAAGGTTGGACTGCAATCATGATTTTGTTGGTGGTATGTTCTCTTGAGCAAATCTCTTTGATTGGATTCATGCATCTATATAAACCATGACTAACAAACTGTAATATAGTTACACATTAAATGCTAAACTGATAACAGTTATCTTTATGTACGAAGTCAGATATTGTGGCTTATTTAACACTGTATTCAAAAGTCTTGGCTTAGCACAATATATGAACTCAGTCACTGGAAGGAAGGAACAAAAAATGATGTGATACAGATTGTTCAGCAAGGTTATTTTTTGCTTACTTGTTTGTTGAAAATGTTTTGAGGAACTTTTGACCAAAGGATGTTTATTAGGGAGAAAGGTCATTGAATTCCTCAAGACATATAGCACTGCAGAATAAATGGGTTTAGGCTTATACCACACAACCACTAAAAGAGGATCATGTCAATTTCTCAAGAAAAACACTGCAGAAGTTATTAAACTGACACCTGTAAATTAAGTAACACCTTATGAAAATAATACATAGTCAAAGCCAATGTTTGAATTTTATTAAAATGATCCAATCTATTAATTCAGAAAATTTCTATACTTTCTACCCTTGAGTGTGGGGTGGGCTAGGAAGAGCCACTGACTTCTTTTAACATCTTGATTTTCAAAACGGAAGAAAATTAAACACACAAGTGCACAATTTTAAAGTGTGCACTTCATTTTTTGCAGAAGTGTTAATTTAAATTTTCTATGACTCCTTCCTGAAAACTGTAAGAATATTTTGGTGACAATCCTGTATTCCCATTTTGGGGGGAAAGTGCCACTGAATTCAATGGGATATAATAATAATAATAATAATAATAATAATAATAATAATAATAATAATAATAATAATAATAATAATAATAATAATAATATTTTATTTTTAGTAAGCAACTATATGATGAATTGTAAAGTTACAATCCTGTGTTGATTTCCTCCAGAGAAAATGAAATCAAGAGAACTTGTCTTTAAGGAGCTAGCTATAATGATGTACTATAAACTATTTTATTTACTCATATTCATGGTCATTATTGCAGTTACACACAAGAGGCTGAAGTATCTGAAGTATTATAAGCTAAGACTCTCTGAATCCCATTTGGATCTGAATCCCATTTTCTGAATCTTATTTTTAACTTCACTAATTTGCCTCTGGAAAGTGTATTGTCGAAGTTTCCTTTCTTATAACCCTGGGAGAAAGTTTGGGGGCCTCAGCCTTGATGTGTAAGGAAAACATAACTGCTTTCCCCAAAAGCAGAGTTTGAAGAGCTTTCAGAGGAATGTTCTGTATGCAAAGGGAAGATCTAACTATCTATTTCCAATTAGCACACACACACAAAGTAGTTTCATACACAGAAATATGCAAACAGATGTTTATAATGATTGCATATTTGTGGTGTGTGTGTGAGAGAGAGAGGGGGGGAGGGAGGGAGGGGGGAAGGGAGAAAGAAAGAACATTATTCTAACTGCCATCCAAAGACTTTTGCACTTTGGAGAAATTTTTCCTTAAGGGTTCAAACTAGGAAACAAACATTACAAGCCACAAGATCACATTTAGGATTTGAATTCACAGAAATTCAGAGACTTTGGCATTCATATGCCTGGGCTCTGAATACAAAAAAAAAAAAGAATGTGCCTCAATGGAGTACAGGTGAAGGATTTATCAAATTAAAGTTCTGTTGGTCTTAAATCTACCTCTGTGTGCCTTCCTCCAGATATGAAGGACTACAATACTCAACCTTCCCTGCCAGCAGACCTTTATTGGCTGAGAAGTGATTAAAGCTGTGGAGAGTGCAAGGCTAGGGAAGATGAAGTCCCCCTGTGCAATATGGAGACTGGATAGATTATGTGGTCCATGAATTTTAAATAAAACAGTTGTAATTTGGATCCTTTCCCCCTCCCCAGAATGAAGGAAAGAAGTACACCAACTGAAAGAAAACTCTGTCCTAGAAATCTAAAAAGTACTCACTACATTCATTGTGTTTAGGTATGCCCGCTGCTCACAGTCATGCAGACAATAGCTAGTTGCAGTTTTTCTTTTACACCTACACTTGGTGCAGAAACATCAGACTGGCCACAGAATATTTCTGTTCCTGAAGCTACTAACAGGAACTTGTGTGTGTGTGTGTGTGTGTGTGTGTGTGTATGTGTGTGTGTGTGTGTGTGTGTGTGAGAGAGAGAGAGAGAGAGAGAGAGAGAAACTTTATGGTCCCTAACCCTTGGACTATGGGCACTAAATAAAATAAGCACTTTGGTTACAGTAGTCTTTACCAAACTAGTACCTACTGCAGATTATAGGAGTTGATCTTTAATACCTCTGGAGAGCAGCAGGTTGGGGAAGTGTACCCAAGTATTATTAATTAATAAATCTAGATTCATTAGAGTATTTTTTTCAAAGAGAGCCCCCTGAATTATATGGTGGTAGCAGCTGGATTTATTCCCTCTTCTCCCATCCCAATTTTGAATAAAGAGAAAATATTTGTATCCCATCTCTGGGAGAAAATAAAAAAAGCAAAGGGAGCTAGCTAAAATTGAGTCAAAACTTCCTAAAAATTCTTAACCACAAACACAGATTCAATGCCAATTTTAAAATTAGGGCAAATGCTTTTGAACATGGACAGATAGCCTTCCTTCCATATGGGTGCCACCGTAGTCCAGAACTGATGTGAAACTTCAATTGTAGCAAAATCCAGCAATTTATTATTACTGGGTGGACAAATTTTGATTGACCATATGGTTGTTTCATCGTATCTATAAAGTTTAGGAAAAACAATAGAGTAGATCTTGCCTGCCTGGTCTGTAAGCAT